AGTGACTCTTGAAGTTATACTTCAAGTTGTTTTAAGGAAAGTATTAAGACTTTATTAGCAAGGAAGTATAAAAACTTTTTGCGAACATCTTTTTTGTGTGTGGTCAAAGGATCAGCAGAAAGAGTTTTATTATTTATTTTGTTAATAAATATTATATAAGGAGTATTATATTAAGTATATATTTTTTGGTTAGTATAAAATAATTTAAAATTTATTAAATTCAAAAAATATTTAAATTAAAAATCTTTTTAAAAAAATTAAATAATTATAATAAATTTAAAATATACAAATTCTTATTTATAATTTAAATTATCTATTAAAAACTTTTATATTTAATATAATATTTAAAATATAATTGATAATTGTAAAATTATATATTATAAAATTTTTTTTGTTAATTTGCAATCATGTTAGATAGCTTGATCTTTATATAGAAATTATATAATTATTTACAATATTACAGATTTTTAATATAATCCTAATTTGTTATTGCATCAAAATATTCTAAGTTAAATTTAGAGAACAATATTTCACTTCTTTAGAGAATTGATAAATAACCTCTATTCATTAAGTTCATTATCAATAATTTATTATTGTAAATTGCTTATGAATCATGAATTATTAAATTAAAGAAAAATGAAAAAAAGAAATTAAAGAAGGGAAACAATTTAAGATCTTGTCAAAAAAGTTTAAAAAGAATGTAATCTTTTTCTTAAAAGTAATCTACCTGATTGAAATAATTTTCTTATTTTTTTTTGAGCCTCAAAAAAAAATCTTCTTTGTTACTATTTGTAACATTAAATAAATGATTCTTTATTTAAGTAAAAATCAAATTGAAATATTTTAAAAAAAATATTTAGATCTTAGCTTTTGTCTATTAAAGTTTTGTTATCACTTAAGAAATTTAGAAAAGAGATAGGAATTTGTAATCCACATTATCCATCTCTTAATTTTTTGATATCATGAATGTTTTCTTGAAGAAACTTGAATTTCTGAAAGGTAAATATTTCTAAAACATTCTTTTCAATCACCAATAATATTATCGAGACACAAGAGTGTATCCAATAGAAGCTTGTTTGTATTTCAAAACTAATATGTTTTATAATAATCAATCACCTTTGGTAAAAATTTGTGTTATCTAAAATTTAGGATCAAATTGAGATAAGTAAAATTTTCCAGAAAATCATAAAAATAGAAGCTCTAAAAGGACATAAACAGTCAAAAAAGGAAAAAATAAGCCTTTTTATTATATTTTGAAGATTAAAAAGGCTTTGGATACTTTACAGTTAGTTCTTCTTCTTTTAAAAACTTTTTTGTCATTGGTATCAAAGGTATTACTTGATTTTTCTTGATTGAAAAAGTGTGAAAGCAATTTTTAAAATTATACTTCAAGTTGTTTTAATGAAAATATTAAGACTTTATTAGCAAAAAAGTGAAAAAACTTCTTGAAAACATCTTTTTTGTATATGGTTAGAGGATTCATATTAACAAAATATTAGAAAAATAATAAGTTTCTTAATAAATAAAAAAAATCAGAATCAAGATTAAAAAAAAGGATCGGATATATTATGATTAAAAAGAATGAGATAAATAAAAATAAGAAAAATATATTATCAAAATGTTTTAAAAAAATAATTATCAATTTAAACTACTTAACAATATTGAAAAATTATATGAAGTAGAACTGATATGAAATTTGATAGTAATCAATTTTATAAAGTTCAATATCAAAAGAAAGATCAATAGGTTTATGGAATGAAAAGTAACTTCTACTAGTTGGAAACAAGGCTATATTTATTAAATAGCAAAAACCAAGTCACAAAAATATAAACTTCTAAATTGTACATGACCATTTTATTAAAATTTTTACAAATAGATTAGACGACGTCTATAAGACATACTGTATAATATTCTAAAAGTTGTAACTATACTGATTTATCAGAAGCGAGTGTAGCCAAACCAATCCAAATTCTTAATAAGATTTATAAGGATGCAAGAGGAAACAATAAAGAATTATGGATACTGTTCAGTTCTTAATAGATAATATACTGTATTACGCGCATGTCCTTAAAGCCAATTTGCATTTGGGACCACAACGAGCACGTGAGACCATAAAGGTAAGGTGCCACCCGTAGTTATGAGAGTTTTACCTTCTCGGGACCACTGAAAGTCTCGTATTGCTGCTTATCAACTGTCGAAGCTTTTTTTTAAACGTTTTAGTCTCTTTCCGGAAGAGTATTCTTGCCAATTATGATTACCAAAAAATTTTCATATTGGCACCCGCATTCGGTTCAAAATAGAACAATGGTTTGTTTTTAAGAGAATGTAAAGATAATGATCATTGATACGTACAAGTACACTATTTATTAATGCAGTTTTACTATACTTAAAAATCAATTTCTTTTTTTTATTAATTTCCATTAGTTGATTTATCAGCTCTTTTAATAATCCATTTTTAAAAACAAATTATTTAACATGCTGCATATTAAATCGCTTTTGTTTAAAGGATAGTTTTAGGTCAATTATTATGAACTTTTAAAATTAAGCCAGCAACATCCTGGAATGATACGCAGTACCCTTTAACTACCGATCATCTCTACAAAAAAATTTCCGATTAGAATTAGCTTTAAAAAAGAAATCCGAGTCAAGTTGAATTTGCTTTCTTTACATTATTTTTTATTGGGCTCGGTTGTTTACGATCGGTCACGAGTCTTACGTCCCAATGCCCGATGATCACAATTGAATCTAACTAACCAGCTCCGTAAGAGACGCATTTAATGTTGAGGGAATTCAAACATTTGAGACTTTGTATATTATAATTATTAAGATAAACTTTTTTGATGGGCCCTCCTTTTTAAAAGAAAAAGGAAAGGGATTGATTTACATATTGTATGTGCGTGTGTTCTATTTAATATGCCATAAAGTTTTATGTATTGAATGCAAAGGGAAAAAAACCCTACCATTGAAAAATCTGAGAAACTAAGCGAAATGTTAATGATAAAGAGTTGAATGCAATCATGGTGAGAGGGGGAGTGCGCATTTAAGAAATTTCCAGCGCCTTCCTCCAATGATTCATGCACACCACCGAGCACGATGAAACACATTCGGCAAATCGTACGCCATTAATACAATAAACTCGAATGTAATCCAGATCGGGCTGGGTCACGTCGCTGAGTAAGGTGAGAAAGGTAGGATTGAACAACAGATTGAACAAACTTTATGCTATCAAAGAGACATAAGAATGAGCAAATCATCATGCTAACCTGGCGATGGTCAATCATATTACATTTTGCTCACCATATTATTACTTATGGTCCAGCCCGTGCTTCACGACATGATCACCTTTGAAGTGTAAGCTGAGAAGTGCCATCAACATATCCTATGAAAAATGAATGTACAGGAAAGAAACGAGAGATTACAAATTTAAGTGGGAGCATTCGTTGGATCAGTTAAAATTTAAAATGGATGTACAGCGTTTACCTGAAGTACATGTATGATTATCACAATCAACGCCACCACCATTTCAGGGAAAGCCTCAAAATCCTTGACCGCCTCCCTCGAAATATCATGTTTGAACACTCTTCGGTATATGAACCGCGTGATTGTGTTGCTAGCAAGTTCGAATGCCCAAATGACGCAACTCGCCTTCAAGGTCAGGTCAAAGTTGAACTCATTTCCCACCTCGTTGAACTTGAAGTAGGGGTATACTTCGAAATTTGGACCGTAATGTATTATACATATCCAACAAATGAATCCCAGCATTGTCGCATTTTCCGCCAAATTCCTGATGAAGAATGATCTTCCACATTGTTTTTTATATTGTTCATAGTCCTTGCGCACACCGACATAGTAAACCAGAAACTTGTGCATCCTGCGCGTCATGCAAATTGGATAAAATATGCATACCCACAGGGAGCTAGCGGCTTGGATTAAGATGTATTGCTTCCGATTGCGAAGCCGGGCGAAAAGGTTACGATAGAAAATAAAGTAGATCATGAAAAAGTAAAGTTTGAATGTGAATTGAAGGGGATAAGATTTGACTCGCGTTTCGATAATGTATTCGGTGACCGTGTCGAGAATGTAGATTGTTGCGAGCCAGGAATATACGTAGACGAATGCGTCTATTCCCGTGTGTGCCTGAGGTGTCGTCACGAACACATACGCGTAGGCCTCGCCAGCAATGAATGCGCCAATTACAATTGATATGGAGACGCAAAACCACAAAAATCGAACGTAAGAAGAGGGTACGCGATATCTTAGTTCATTTTCGAGAAATATTTTTTGAGCTGGTGTCAGCGAACGCCGATAGGTGTTCCTGTTCTGTAAACGAATGACAATGAAGGCTACCAAAAGTGGCATATTCATCGTGACAAACGTGAGCAGGACCCACGTCAAATTATACTTTTCCAAACCGGTGTAGAGGTAGATGAGCACCCCAAGCAAGAGCGACGAAAGCCAAAACGTACAGTACGCGAAACCTCCACCCAACCACACTGGCCACCAATTCAAATAGTACAAGTCAAATATTTTTGTGATCATCAGTAGTGCTACGGCATTATAAAATCCATAGTAGAAAAATAAAAAAAACCAAAAATTAATTTCCACAGGCTTTTCGCTCTCACTCGACTGATAGTGCGCATCTGTATCGTTCAAATCCGCAGAGCCCGTCAGACCCATCATCGATTTTATGCCATCGAGGGGTGATTCATTGGGATCGTATGTGGGAAAGGGTACAGCGCACCAAGTCAGAACCTGGGAAAAGGGAATTCGTGCGCGAGCAGGTTGGCACATTATGAAAATATAACGGGATCGAATTATGAAGGAATGATCATTAAAGTGAAATGGTAATCACCACTGCGACGGGGAACACGTTCAACACCAGTGCACGTCTCCAACTATTACGGGTCCATTCGGAAACCAATCTCCTGGTTGGCCTTATTCCCTTCAGGAGGAGTGTATTTTCGTCTGGTTCTACGGGCGAAATGGGTGGCGGCGGTATGGAGCGTGTGATCTGGTCTGTGAGAACATCAAAATTCATTCAAGTCAGGTCTTTCGAGCGTCAGATAGAGTAGTGTTCACGCGAACAATAGCCTCGAGGGTAGCTCACCGTCATACAAGTCTCGCCCGTCGCCCGGTCTTAGCGTGTGATACATTATGCGTACTTTTTTTTTTTTTTTTTTTATCGCAAAACGGCAACTACTGTGCCCTCCTTTGTATACGAGTGATAATGTATGTGTCTTATTAAAGTATAAAATTATCCACGAGTAAAAAAAAAAAAAAAAAAAAGAATAACAATAATTAAATATTATGTTGCTTTGGGAGGATGGGAGGAAAAGAAAAAAAAAAAAATAAAATAAATAAATAAATCTCCTTTCAGGGCTGTCAACATTATGCGTAGTACGAGCGTACGAGCATACGTAAACACCTGACTGCGAAAATTAAACTGGCCAATACGATTATATCATTACGCTTAACGGGATTGCGGTGATTGAAAATTACTTTAAGCTGACAATAATGATTTTGCGCGATGCTTATGTCCATAGCGGTATGCTTTTTTTTAATGAAAACCATGACATCTGAATGCATCACATAAACAAGCAGCGCACAATAGACTACCATTTCCTCAACGCAACGCATATAGTGAATCATGATCATGATAGCTTATCACTAATCTCTATCAGAAATATGGCTGGGTTTAAATTCGATGCGCGCTGCAGATGATGTAACTGGTAGATCCTTTCTTGCGTGTACCCAAAGAAGGTTATGATGTATGTTTCGTGTTGACTTTTAAAGGCGAATTTAGAACAATGCATGATGCGGCAATGCAAACCTGTGAACCTGCAGAATTTTATTAAAATATTGAGAAAAAAGAATGAGCGAGATGATAATACGCACGCACGGCGTACTCCGATAATATAATACACGTGCATAACAATGTTGTGCATTACATGCGAACAGGCAGACGAGATTGAAGTGTGTAAGAAAAAGAAATTACTGGGGTGTTGCGGCAATGCACATTCCCGTGAATTTACTGTACCTCAGGACGGAAAAAAAAAGACAAATTTAAGATTCAACTAGTGAACTTGAAGGTAATGAGATCTCATCTATTAATATCTTCTAATGTTTGATAATCAAGTCCGAGGATGTTGGACAGGTTAGGTGCAATTCGTGTCACCAATTCCCTTAATCATTTATTATGCATATAGATGTATCTTCGGAATTAACCAAAAAGGACATAAATGTGGTTGGGGATGTGGTCTTGTACGTGTGTAAGATGGGTACATTGTTTACAACTCAAATAAGGGTCGATGTGAAAGGTCTCTGGAAATTGGCGTAGACGTGGTTTTTTCGGTCCGCCCCACCAAAATAATATATACTGTAAATGCAAACTGTTGCACGTGACAGAAGATGGGATTTTAAGAAATTTTTTCGACATCGCGAGCGCTAACGACATCTGTGGCAATCTTCACTAGTAGATCTACTGCTTTGTCTACGTGTTCCTCCGTTGTCCACGGACTTCCCACTGCAAACCTTATAACCTCCTGACCACGTAGTATCGTGTGTGAGAGGTAAATTTGGTGCGTTCCGTTTGCAATCTCATATACTTTCGAGGTGAGCTGGTTGGATGAATAAGGAGTATTTTGATTAGCTATAACATGAAAGCAGACAAGGGAAAAAGCCGGTGGGGCCGAGATGGCGAAGAGATCGGGATGGCGCATAATTCCGTGTAAAAATTGTTCTGCCAATTTTACGCTCTATTAAATGGATTGGTGAAGGTGGGAGGTTGTATAAAATGCGCGACGAAAGAATAAAAATAAAATAAAAGATGACCTTTCGAATATGTGCCCTCAAGCCTTTTGCGCCGTAGGAACGTAAGACAAACCATATCTTCAAAGATCTGAATCGTCTACCCACTATTGTATGTGATGAATCATGACATCAGAACGAAGGAAGGAAAACGAAATTCGTTGTATCCTATAGTTTTTGTACTCACGCGGTACTTGCCAATCACGATAATCTAGAACCAGCCCGCTTTCGCTAGCCGGATTTCTTAGATACTCTGGTTCAATGGAAAGCGCATCCATAAGATGTTTCCGATTTTTAACCCTGTTTGGTGCGAGACTCCTTAGGAAGTGATGCTCGTGATTCGATTGAATGTTGTCAGAAGGAGACTTTCACATTACCACAAACATGAGGCATCAAAGTTGGTCAATAGCCACTTGTGCATATTGAAATTAAATGAATCCGATCGATTAATTCCAGCAAGGTGATGCCGATACTCTGGACACACCAAGGATGAGCCAGCATATGCCGCGTCCACGTGCAACCACACACTCGTGTCCTGAGCTTTGAGAATCGGTGTTCATATTACTTGTCGACGCGCTATGAAGATGGAGTCGAATTCTTTATACATACCGACGTCTGCGATTTCGGAAATGTTGTCTATTGCTGACGAGCCAGTTGTGCCGAATGTCGCGCAAATGTAGAATGGAATTAGCCCCTTCGCAATATCATTTTCGATTTCCATCTTGACAGTTTCCCCTCTGATCGAAAAGGTTTCGCTTGTCGAAAGAGCTCGAAAACGCGTGTTCGTTACGACCGTAGCTTTTTTGAGAGACAAATGAGTCTATTAAAAATAAAATTAATTATGCGCGCATGATAGTTGTCGTGACCGTTATATACAACATATACCCACCTCATCTGACCCGTAGGCGACAAGACGTGTTGACACCTCATGTAGTTCATCCTCGTTTAAACCCTTGGCCTTGTACTCGCTCAAAACTCTCTGTCGGGCTGCAAGTAAAGTCACTAGGATTGCATCACTGGCCGTGCTTTGGATCACGCCACCGCCTTTTCCTTCACTATGAAAACTACTATCCAGACCAATTAATTTTGCCAGCCAATCGAGAACGATGGTCTCGAGTTCCGTGCAAGCAGGCGAGCAAATCCACTTTCGACAAATCGAAAGATTGTAAAAACAAATAGATCAACGGTGCAAAGAGAGAAAACGATGACGAGAACTCACATTAAATCCTATGCAGTTAAACATATCACTATACATGTCGCCCAAGATTGCTGGAAAAGATGAATTGGCTGGAAAGAAGGCGAAAAAATTTGGACTTTGCCAGTGTGTAACTGAAAATCGATGTGAACTCGTTAAAAATCCCGAACGTGCGTTGGTTCAATATCGAAAGAAATGGTATATGCTGACCACCAGGCATAATTTTACTTTCTATGTCGGATTGAATCACGTCAAAAGGTTCGGGATCTACGTATATGGATTGTTAGGTTGAACGTAAATCGATGCATGCGGTAAATATTATACAGTACCTTCGGGTGCCTCTTGAGGTAGAAGTTTTCTAAGGTATCCGGGTTCGACCTTGGATAAAACTTAAACATGTGTAAGATGAGGGAAGACTCACGATCCCCAGCCGATACCACCGAAAATGCCAACCATCATAGCTGTCGAGTTCTTGGTAATATTTGCAAATTCTATCGATCGTTTCGTAGCCTCTTTTACGGAACTCTTCGATGTCCATTCTGAAAATTTTTTTTTAAAAAGTTAAATGGTGTGGACTAACATTTCACCAAAGTATAAAATAATCGTGTGTATGTGTCTATCATTTCTTGTTTTAATAGAACACATAATGGTTCTGATGAAACTTCCAATTTAGTTACAGAAATTCTTGGAATGCTTGACTATTGATTTAATCCCTTTTCCGTTTTGCACCTCATATGCGAACTCCCCTTACGACGTGCTACAACATCAAACAGTTGTATTACCATACCTGGTTGATAAATTGCATGATCACGTACATGTTTCCGTAGTTACTTTTCCGATGCACATTTTAAACACAACACAAAGCTGACCCTCTCGTCGTCGAACGGTATGCAGATGTTTGATGTGACGTCATGCTATGTGATTGAGGCTTTGATTTTACTAATGTTATCGAACGCGTAATTTTCTTTTTTTTTTATTTTACTAGTACTGATTAAAGGGCGTAATTTTTTATTAAAAAAAAGCGCAATTTTAGTAGAAAGGCTGGACGAGAAAAGATCCATTATTACTGGTGATTACCGGTTTCCAGAGCACGGAATCACCGGCGAACCTTACTCACCCAGCCACAATTCTTTTAAACATTTTATTTATTTAACCATTTAATGTTTTGTTCGAACCAATGTTGAATTAGGTTTGATTGAAAGAAAAAAAAAAAAAAATCATTGTTTCGATTAAAACGGGCCTGTGGAAAGAAAAATAAACAAGGTTTTCGTGATATACCGCACATGCTTATTTATTTATTATACTATTGTAATACCTTTAAAAATTGGCATTTCAAATGTATAAAGAAAACATGCACTGCACATTTATTATTAATTAACTTCTTATAAACTAAAGGATGGGTTAATGTATTAATAAGTGAAATTTTTTATTTACCCAACTGGTTTAAAGACCATTTAATAATTATCTTTGCATTTTTTTTTTTTTTTTTTTTTTTTTTTTTTTAATTCTTGAAAAATTTACCGGTTTACAAGATGCAAAAACCTGAAAAATATTTTTCATACGGAAAGATCAACGAAAGCTAATTTTATTTTATTTTGCATTGATTAAATTAAAGTTACTAGTTATTTGGTAATCGATGCTTGTGAAACAAGTTTTGAGCCAAGTTCACGCAACCAATACTAACAAAAGAGACATTTCGAATTCTTCCAAATCATCATTTAACGAATTTTGAGCTCCTTTTACGAACCCGTCCTTTCATCGTTATGGATATCTTCGGTACTTTCTGGCCTTTCTTCTTGTACATCGACGAAAGTGGAACGTAAGCGTAAGGATCGGGCTTCCCTTTCCGTTTAACATCCCCTTCCGCATTCTTCGCCTTATACTCCTTTCCAATGGATTCAACTCCCTTTGCCTTCTTTACTTTCTTTCTTCTCGCCGTTATGGCGTCAATTGGTTCTATCTCGTCCAATTCCATGCCGTCATTTCTGTTTCTTTTGTTGAATCTGATCTTATTGGATTGATTGCGTGTAAAACCTTCGCTGGACTGCTGTGCTTCTCTGTAATGATCCTCGGCGTCCTGCATGGCGACATCCGAAGAATTTGATCCTCCTGACATATCATCTGAATTTTCCTCGTCTGATTCATTGATTACCATGCGTCCATCTCGGGACTCCTTAAAGGAAGAGGTGACACCTTTCGATTTCTTTTTGGTATTAGGATCCACGCCAATAACTTTTGATATTACACCTTTGTCCAAGAAATCAACTGGTGCATCCTCATCTTCTTTTATCCAAGTTTTAGACGACCTCTCATTATTTTTTCTCAAAGATTTTATTTTAACATTAGACTTGCTTTCCCTATCGGAATCCTCGAGGTCGCTTTCGCTTCCATATAATGCTTCTTCGTATGCGCTATTGAACAAGGACCTGTTTTTAGAAGAGGAAGTCTTCTCATCTTGCTCATCATCTGAATCCATTGTCTGCTCAATGCCTTTTTTCCTTTTCGCTCGATCTTTTCTTTTGCGAATGTTTATCAACAATTTCTTGTCGGCTTCCGGCACACAATTATCTATGGCGTCGTACCCAAACCGTCTAATCAAACGTTCAAAGATATGTCGCACCTTTGCTTTAAAATGACTTTTGTGTTCTTTGGACCACACGAGGATTCCGTGGACAATCTGTGATAAGTGCGAGCTCAAAAAATCGGTATCCAACGAGACCGTGATAACCTTAATAAATCCTAATGCAGATTTGACTATTTCTCGGTTAGAACAATTTACAAAATTATCCATTGTATCAATAAGTTGGTGAAGGCGTGATTTATCAAGATCCGTTCTAAATTCAAACACCAATCTCGACAATGCTGTGATAGTGGCGCTCATCATATGAGGGGTGGTAGCAGCCAGCCCGGCGATCACCATGGTGAACACATACTCGTCGATAGAGGCCTGTGCGTTTGGCAATGTCGGATCAGCTCCCGCTACCTTGCTCATGACTATGGTGCCACCCTCTTTCATCTTATTGCCCATGACCACGAGTAACTCGTACGCAATACTCCTGGTTTTTTCGTTGACTTCCTTCGCACAAAGTATTGTTTCCGAGAGTACGTCGGGTATCATGTGAAGATCCGAGTTTGGCAAGAGTTTGACAACGCTAATCAACATCAATAATCGATTTTTTTTCGCGGCCGGTGCCGACTCCATGGTGGCATTTAATAGTTGACCTTGCAAATCTTCGATATTTTGCAAGATTACCGATTTTCCGTTGTCACTTTCCATTATCCTATTTAAGATTTTGTATGATTTTTTTTGTAGGGTGGGGTCATCATTGCATAGTAGAGATATGACGATTTCGTACAATTGCCTAACTGAACTGGTATCAAGCTGTGGTATCATAGCGATTGACAAGTCCAACATGGTGTATGACATTGGAGGAGAAGATGTTTGGTCATTTGCTCCGAGTGGTTTATGGTTGACCAGAGACTGTTTCAGAAGGTTCAAGACTTTACCAAAGATCTTTGAAATTTCTTTAGTTCGAGTGATTGTCAGGTAGACCTTGATAGCATTCAATATATACCCCCTTTGTGCCACAGGAGTTTGATTGAACACATTAAAGAAAACGGCCAAATAATTGGCAGTATATTTAACCAGGTGATCGATATTCCTTTTTGCCGAGGCCTTATCCAAACCATATTTCCTATACAATTCAGCGTCGTCTTCCCCCGAGTTCAAAATGATCTTGTTTTTTTCCACCAAATTTTCGAGTGCCAAGGTGACAGTTGGACGTATATCGGGATTCTTATACATGATATTGCCAAGTAGTTCGGCCGTAACATTTGTAAACGATGTTGGCAAGTCGATGGGAAGGTCACAGAATCCTGGAAGAAGAGCCCACACTTGTTGCGTTAATGTGTCATAAATTTTTGAGTCAATCATCCTATTTCTATTTCGATATTCGGAAGACAGTTTATCAAGTCGCTCGGTCAGGGGCACAAGCTCCGAAAAGAAGTAATCAAGCTCTGTGTTGGTGATGTGATTTTTGAGCAAGGGAAGAAGCCAAGCACGACCAGAGTTGTTTTCCGGAGTTTCTAGGTTCAAAGGCAGAATACTCAGAAACAATCGAGGCCCCATGCTCGCGATCGCAGCTCCCAGTGCTTGATCAACTTGTTCCTTTAATTCGAGGGACGGATCCATTCGCACGTCCCCCACGATCTTAAGTAAATTGACCAAAAGCTTCTGTGAAGACCGATGTAACCGTTGAAACAAGGATTTCGAAATTTTCAAAACATGCGGCCACGCCGATTGATATCGAAAGTTGAAACCATTTTCGACAATCTTAATGATAACGCCTAAACAAACCCCCTCATCTGACTCTGACTGTTCGAGTTTTTTCCTAATCATGTCATCGGTAACGCCGTTAATGATTAGATTCGAAAGGCAATCAGTGCTTGCAGTGAGAATATCCGAGCTATCAACTTCCAGAGTGGAAAATATGGCTTTGAAAAAATCCAAAAGCATTTTTTCGCAATCATCGGGATTAACCTTGGCATACACCGGAAATCCAATGCTAACAATCATAAGCCAGTGAGGTAACAATTGAGCATCTTGCTTGTTCGGCATGAGATCCCGTAATGATGCAAGCAATTCTTCGAGAAAACCAATTTCAAAACTACTTCCATTGTGTCGAAACAATTCCTCAAAGACCTGAAAGGCGGCGATTGTGAGGAATGTGTCATTATACTTTGGTAGATGCAACAAATTTTGGCATAGCTTTCCGAGGCTCGAAGCTGGCCATTTTCCGGCAATTCCCTTTAAGAGAGACAAGAAGTGAATTACAGATTGTCGATCAGATTTTGAACATTCGTTCAGAACTCTTAAACAAAATTCCGAGGCAATACCGATGGCAGGATGTTTGTTCAATGACGACGGAGGATTGTCAAGAATATTTCGCACGGCGTCATGAGCTCTCTTCCTTGGTTTAGGTCGCTGATCCGCCGAAAGGACCAATAACGATTGGAATCCTTTTTTTGTGATCGCCTGATCCCACGCATTAAAATCTTGCGCTATTATCAATGTTTCCAGGCAACCTGTAGCTGAACGAATGATGGACGCGTCGCTCTTGTCATTCTCCATGATTTTCAAAAAGATTGGTGAAACTTGAGAAAATTTACTACGCATTACTGCCTGCGTTAAGTGCGGGAGTACTATGTTCAGGAGGTATAGCACTGCTCTCCGAATTTCGATATTGGAGTCCTTAGTATTTTCGTGTTGTTCCTCCAGCATTATCATTAAACTACCAAAATAAGCAACAGGTGTGAGGGGGACATTCTTCTCCTTTATGGTGTCCTCAATTGCAAGAAGCGTAACGGCAATCTGCCTTTGATTATCAAGTTTCGAGTCAATTTGGCTACGAATTCTATCACATTGTTCTTCCATTGTATTTGTGTAAAAAGATTATCAGAAAAAAAATTTTTTTTTTTTGCTGCGTATAACAATTTTATATGATGTGATCGGCATTTACATCATACCAACTCCAACCCGAAATTCTTTAAACATGATTGACAGTCTATTCGTTCTGAATAGTTCCGGGTGAGTTTCTCCTGTCCAAAACATTTTTTTGCCCATAAACTCCTATCATCATATTCATCACTTTTTTTTTTTGTACAGGAAAATCATCATAGAAAAGCATTGGCGTGGCCTCATTAACCGTCAGATAGTCGATTACTTTAATGATCAGGTTTCCAACCAAACTTCTTCCGAAGATGTCTTGCCAATAATATCAACACCCAAATATCAACTGGTACACGTCTATCGCTCGGGCCTGACGTTCCTAAGCCCGGTCACTAATGAGGGTGAATATAGCCCTGCGTTTTCCCGAGTACACACGGCAAATTTTAATCGATTCTTCGAATTCTCGATATTTTATATACAGTTGACGCCTTGTTGGTTCTAGAGTTTCTCCATCGAATTGTTGACATTTTAGCGGAATACTTTGGAGAGATCGCCGAAACATCAATTAAAGATAATTTTGATACCGTATACCAGGTTTGTGTGTAATTCAAGATCGAACGCATTTAAAATCCCAACTTACCAAAGACCTTTTTTTAGCTTTTGGAAGAGATGATGGACTACGGTAAATATAATGAATTCCGATTAGCCCTAGAGATAAAGAACCTTTGGTACCCATTGAAACTTATAACAAAAATTCACCGTCAAGGGTCGACCGCAGTAAGCTTTTTCGATTATTCATGAGGACTTTTCAATATTATAGGATATCCGTTGACTACTGAGCCGAATGCGTTAAAAGACATGATCGTGCCACCAAACATTATCAATAAAGTAATAAGTCAGGTTGCAGGCGTAACGAGGTATGCGTAAAAATGCTACTGCATCAAACCGCCAAATTACATCCTTCCAATAGCAACCTTTTGAATTTAGCGTGGTCCAGCATGTACCCAATGGTAGCACTATAGCAAGTATACCGTGGAGAAAAGCTGGTGTCAAGTATACCAACAACGAAATATATTTTGATATTATTGAAGAAATAGACGCGATAGTTGATAGGTACGGGATAATAAAAGAGATGGTTTTACATGTTTCCTTTTTTTTGTTAAGGTGAAAGTTAATAATAATTTATTATTTGTATATTCTAGCAACGGCTCCATAGTTTCATCAGAAATCCATGGGTTGATACAAGCAAACTGTCGTCTGTCGGGTAAATTTTTTGCACGGTTCTCTCTCAGACATTTTAAAATAATATCAATATTATCAGTTCTAAATACCTTTTTTTAATTAAATTATGAAGGAATGCCTGATCTTACCTTAAGTTTTGTTAACCCTCGAATATTGGACGATTGCAGTTTTCATCCTTGCGTAAGATACAACCGATTTGAAAATGAACGTGTCCTCTCTTTTGTACCACCAGACGGGCACTTCAAATTGATGAGCTATAGGTGTGCGTCGCGCGTTCAAGTGTATTTATTATGTAAAATTTACAAAAATATTAACTATCGTCTACCTAGAGCAAATTTTCCGAACAACAATTCCTTACCAGTTTACGTGAAACCACAAATATACATGACCAACAATGGCGGTACGTGGTTTTCTACTATATGTTGGTTCATTTGACCATGGTTGTCTTATTAGGTTATGCGTGTTATAATTTTCAGGAAAATTTGATATTTCCATTATAATACGGAACACTGAAGGAAAACCGGTTGAAAATGTGCTGTTGATATTTCCACTTGCTCAATCAGTTACCAATGTTAATGCTACCTGTAACCTAGGATCATACATTTTTGATCCAGTAACAAAGGTATTTTAGAAAATTTTTTACTTTCCTGAAGGATTGCAATTATTTAGACTGTAATTCTCGATGTCATTCTCTTCATGCAATTTCTTTTACTATTTACATTTGAAAGAGTATAAAATGGGACTTGGGCAAAATAGATCCCAAAGACAGAGTACCTATGCTATCTGGAAACTTTAGTAGCCCGTAAGTATATGGCTTATCCGTTCCAACGGTCCAACCGGATACACCAATAATAAAATGCTTATTTGTATTGTATACGTAGCGAACAAACTCCCGAATCAGGTCATACGATCATACTGGATTTTATTATCAATATTTTTGCTATATCGGGACTCAAAGTGGACAGCCTAAAAATTTATAATGAAGCTTACAAACCTTACAAGGTAAAATCTATAGCAATATTAAGCATAATTTATTTGCGCATTTGGTTAATTACATTCTTTGCATTATTTCAAATTAAAGGGAGTAAGAAGTATGACCAAGGCGGGAAAATTTCAGATTAGGACGTAGATATTGGAATCAAAATTTTGGTTAACGGGAATGCTTTTAATGGAAACTTGGGTCCTGAATAATTAAAACCGCTGCAAAAAAAGTCCAAACTGTTCATTCTTCCTACATGCGACCTGGATTTCCATAATAATAATACATTAAGTCTTTTTAATTTTTATATTAGACGTTTTTGTGATCACTTCTTTTTTGCTTTATTTAATTACAAATTCTATCCTTTATAATCTGATCAATGAAAACAAATTTTCAAGTCAATATACAGTTTGGGACAAATCTTTTTGCCCTTTTTTATTTCGCAATAAATTGATATTCGTACATACTAACCAATCATGGAATGATAACCATAAACACGAGATTATCTAGTTTTGTTGACAAATATTTAATACGAAATTCGTTCGCCACCTCTTTCGATAATAGACTCACATCGT